TCTCAAAATCAAAAAGAAATTGGTAACAGTGGGTTATTCACATGAGGGAAGAGCTAGATGTAAGTCTAATGTATTGAACTAATTTGATGTAAGTGTGTAAGTGGCAGATAGGGAAACTCAGAATATTTTATATGCTGGGGATTTAATGGAAATATTGTTTGCCTTGGAATTTTGAGATGCTGATCTTATGGGAGAGGAGACTTGCTCATGTTCCACCACAGTGAATGAGAGAGAAGACAGCTAAAGTTTAAGGAAGATGGAAATAAATTAAGACACAGTACAACATACTGCCATACCAGAAGCAGATTGATGAGAGCTGGCTGCCAATTCTGATACTTAATTGTTGTGTGCCACAAGCAATTATTTAACCTCTAAGCTACCATTTCTTCACCTGTAAAAGGGCAATAGTCCCTAACTCATGATTACTGGGGGGTTACAGGAAAACGCATATACATGTTTTGGAGTAAAGTGTTCAGGTATTATTATGAAACAATTTCTTACTAAAAATGGGGATATTAGGCAAATTAAATGGTTTGAAGATATCAAAATGAAGCCTATTGGAGTATCTTGAAACAGGAAGAGGGAATTAATTCCAACACAATCTTTTTCCTCCTATCTCTATATGATCTTGCAATAACTTTTTTTTTTGAAACGGAGTCTCACTCTGTCACCAGGCTGGAGTGCAGTGGTGCGATCTCAGCTCACTGCAACCTCCGACTCCAGGGTTCAAGCAATTCCCCTGCCTTAACCTTCCTCGTAGCGGGGACTACAGACATGCACCACCACGCCCGTCTAATTTTTTGTATTTTAGAAGAGATGGGGTTTCACCATGTTGGCCAGGATGGTCTTGATCTCCTGACCTTGTGATCCACCCACCTCGGCCTCCCAAAGTGCTGGGATTACAGGCGTGAGCCACCGTGCCCGGCAGATCTTGCAGTAACTTTTATCTAGTTAAGCTCCCAAGTAAAGTTTTAAAACTGCCCTCTTCTGTCTTCCACTGCCAATGTCATCTTCCAAAGCAGAATCAACTCTTTATCCAGACCAGTGAAGTAGCCTCCTCAACCAGTCTCCCCACCAAGCTCTCTCACCCTTTAATCTATTCAGGGAATATCATTTGGCTTAGGCTTCCACAGCTTATAGTCCAAACTCCTCACAATCTCCTGCAAAGGCTGAATGCTGTGGTTCCTGCCTGTCTGTCCAAAC